TGTGTGTGTGTGTGTGTGTGTGTGTGTGTGTGTGTCTCCTCTTTCTCTCCTCTTTCAATCCTCTCTCTCTCCTTTCTCTCCTCTCTTCTCTCTCTCGTATCTCTCCTCTCTTGTTCTCCGCATGCTGTCTTTTCTTCCCTGCCCTTTCCTGTGCGTGCAGTGCACCTGGCCAGAACTAGAATATAATAAGATCGTAACCTCCATAACTCAACATTTTCAAGCTCCTGTGAATTGCTATGGATCGTACCCAGCATAGTGACCAGGTACATGCAGGTTGTGCGTATCCCAACATTTTCAAGCTTCTGTTAATTGCTGGCTATGGCAGACACTCATCCAGCAGTTTTGGATGCTCGCACAACCTGCATGTACCTGGTCGCTATGTCCATCTTCATCTTGAACCAAAAAGGTGACAGCTATGGTGCCGCCCTTGCTGGGAATACCTAGGTATGCTCCATTCCATTATGGGGAGTTGCAGCATACTGCAAGGAAGATGAGCAATAGTGAACTTCAGCAATCAACAGCATCATACATAAGTGACCAGATAGTCGTGACCTCGAACCAAAAGCAGACTTGCAGTACGAGTTCCACCAAATAAGAAGACAGCAAAAGCTCATAATTGACAATGCTGGTATAGTCTCATCATCATCAACATAGAACCAATGTGCCTATCCGGCGCTCGGCACCCAGACTACTGATGGCAGATCCTATCTAGCCTACAACTACAATGCCGAAGTTGACGACAACAGCTCTCCTGAAGTACGAGCAGATGGCGGCCAATGCCGCACGCTTCCAGCACCAGGTAAGTCTCTCGCTTCACTCACAACCTCGTCCCTCAACACACAGATGCCACTCGCACCCAAGGACCACCCTGCGCCACACCCAGCTACCAGCAGCGCAGCTCGGCTATAGCTGCCTGCTCCTTCCCTGCTCGCCCGTGAGCACGTGAGCGCTGGCCAGCCTCTAGCGCAGCAGCGCTTGCGCAGCATGCAGCCAGCACCCGAATGCCAAATGTGGAGGCAGGCCCTTTGCTATATGGAAGTGGCCTGCCTGCTTGCTGTCCCAGGCTGCGCTGGGCCTTTCCCAAGAAGCTTCCGGTAGGCCCCGGTAGGCTGAGGCCCAGTCCGCACAACTCAGGCCCTGGGCCTGTCGTGGTTGCATGCGCCCAACTGTCAACGGCCCGTGTTAGGCCCCTGTCCTCTATCCAGCCCAGGGCCTGTCTTCGGTACCTACAAACAGGCTTCTCCGGGCGTGGGTTCTTCCAACCAACTGGCGCTGCGCAACTGCCTGAATTTCCTTGAGTTACGTGGTGACCGAAATAGGGGCCCTCAGGCCCTCGTCGAGCCTGCCTTCACTTAGGGCGGCCGACGTGCTGCTTGGCAGGACCTGAAAAGGGGCTCATCGGGGCATAAGCCTCGCATTACGGTGGAATAAATCAATTAGACAAACACGAAGGATAAGTGAAGCAATGAACATCAGGGGGAGGGCATGAGGTGATGGGGGACGCATGTGCTTTTTTTCTTTTTTTTCTTTTTTTCTTTTTTAGTGAGGCAATGGTGTTGATGCAGCCATTGGTATCTGCTGCGCGGGTTGCCTCCTGAGCAGCTGAGGCGGTGATGTAAAACCAGTGGTGTGGATTTGTGTGTGCCAGTCCTGCAGGCCAGAGTACTCCTAGAAGAGGCACTGTTTTGGCCAAGTCCCACATCGACTTAGAAATGCTGGCTATGGTGGCTATGGTGGCTATGGTGGCTATGGTGACTACAGTGGCTATGGTGGCTATCATTGTGTGGGTTTGAGCAGTGCTCTCATAACTGCTTAGCGTGTTGGTTGTCTGCGACCTGCTTTTGCTTGTCTGCTGCAGAAACTCAGCTGTCCCAAAATAGACATGGCAATGGTGGTTACAGTGGCTATGGTGGCTATGGTGGCTATGGCGGCTATGGTGGCTATGGTAGAGTCTATGTAGCCTTCATAGCAGGTTCTGTTTTGCTGTTTCTTGCACTTGGTTTTGGCTCTTTCGCGTCTCCCCTTTGCAACCTGTAGCTCTCTGTGTTTCTGTGACCTGGCTGTGTCTACCTTTCTCTCAGATCCGTGTTGGCTGGTGATGGCTTTGGACTCTTCTTTCCCATATATGTATAAGCAGGTGCTGGTCGAGCCAGGAACACCTCAAGGGTCTGCAACAATCCGGCAAGCAAGGAGTTTGGTGCTGCAGATGGAGAAAAAGGTCTATTGCTTTTCTTTACCACAGGCCCTTCACTCTCACTTATTTGCGAGTTTGGCAACTGGCCTGTGGAACGTTGAAACTACCTTGAATATAAGAGAGAGAGAGAGAGAGAGAGAGAGAGAGAGAGAGAGAGAGAGAGAGAGAGAGAGAGAGAGAGAGAGAG